AACTCGAAGAACGAAGCTTTTTTACTGCGTGTATGGTCGCGCGGAGATATTTTTCGCAAGCAGAAAAAAAAGGCAGGGTTCTGTTTTTGAATGATTTTTCAACGACGCTTAATGTTTACACAAAACCCGTCGGTCGAGGAGTAACAAATTCGGACGATTGCTCCGCGCGCACACTTGTACACATTCGCGGTTTCCATCGTAAATTCGAACAAAAATATTGCCTTAATCCGAATAATCCTCGAGGGAAAGTTCGCCGCGCGACGTACGTATTCGAGCGATAAACTCGAGAACGACGACGACGCGCCTGCATTACGTGCAGCTGCATCAATCCGCGAGTCGTTGAAGCCAAAAAAAAAAAAATTCGTTATCGAGCACTCGAATTGCGCTCGTATAACGACGCGAGAGACTCCGGGAAATTTCATCGGCGAAAGAAAGCTTCATTCATCGGGATGCGCGGTGAGCAACAGTTTTTGAAATTCTATATGTATAATCTCTCTCTCTCGACCTTTTCATACAATGCAAAAAAATGTCTATCTTCTTTCACTCGCGATTTAATTCAAATTTCTCCCGCAAGTACAAAGGCCATTGAGAGAGATCTGAAATCTCGGTGCTGCGCTTTTCACCCCGTCGCGCTCGGAAAAGGATTCTTTGCCGCAAGAGCGAAGTAATGGCTCGCGCGCGCGGGCGCACTTTGCACATTTTTCTCTCTTTCTCTCTCGTGCGCCATTCAAAGTCGGATCTAGGTCAATAAGTCTGTTATAAAACTCTATCGCTATCTATACATCCTACTTTTCTCGCACAAATCCAGCGGCGTTTCATTTCTCATCTCTGCCACCCGTTCGTCGTACATTATTGCATATCCCCCGCACTCGAGGGATCAAGTGCCGCGATAAAAAAAAAGCTGCTCGGTCAGCTCCGCGCGCGACACTCGTTTTGGATTAGACGGCGGCGGCAGTGGTGTGGCGTCGGGCGCGCCAAAACCAGCTGAATCGAGACGACGATGAGAATTAATTCGCTTTATACAGAGTGGAAGCGCACACATGTACATTCGTTGCTCGCACGAAGAATTTCCGGGAATGTCGAACATTCGAGAGGAAAAAGAGGCTTAATTCTGACCCGTGTATATAAGCGAACAGAATTTCTGCTGCGGTTCCTTTTATTTCAAATTCAGCTGCGCCGCTGCTGCTGCTGCTGCTGCTGCTCTCGTGCACACACGCCTGCAGCTTCGCGCGCGACTGTACATATTTTATCACAAAGAAGCTCGGGCAGCAGCGATGACTTTTGCTTGATTTTCAATTTGCCCGCAGCGCGTGACTCAGAATATTGTAATTGCCTTTTTTTTTAGTGCCTCAGTGTTAAATTAATCTTTCCGGCTTTGTTTTTTCATCTTCTTTGCGCAAAGACGCGCAATGCCTTTTCTGCGGGGAAAAATCTGTCGAGAAATAAACTTCGTTCATAGGTCACTAATTAAAATCTCGCGAAATCCGTCTATGGACCATTAGCATCGAAAACAATAAAGCCTACTTAAGACTGGCGCGTTGATCGCGACTTGAGGGGATGCCGCGCGAAGAATCATCGCCCTCAAATCCGAAAGCTCGCGCACTCAACTATATACTCTGTGAGGGCATGTATAATTCGCCGCTTCGAGAGTTACTCTCATTCCGAAAAAAGCTCTACACTCTCGTCCGACCCAAGTTGAGTAGAAAAGTAAAAAAAAAAGAACAAGCAACTGAAAAAATAAGGTCGGAAAATAAAGAAACGCACGTACGTATGCACATCATAAAATTTATGCCAGAAAAGGAAAAATATATACAGCACACAGTCAGGCGGGCGGTCGGGCGCGCGGGGGCGAGGCAGCGCCGCGCAGAGAGAAGATTTACACAGCGAGCGGCGGCATGGGAGCTCGCTGCAATATCGTTGGCCTCTCTTATAATACATGACTACCTTTTTCGCGCGAGCGCATACGTATATACGTTTTTTTTTCTACCTACCAGAGCCGAGGCTTTTGTCTCTCTCTCGCTTTCGTGTACAATATTTACGGATAACAGACGTAAGCTGCGCGCACTGAATAATCGAAAACTATGCAGCGCTGCGTGTGTATGTGTGTGTGTGTGTACGTCGCTCGGTGCGTACGAGTGTGGTTTATTTAAATTTGACTAATTCATAACCGAGAGGCTCTCCGTTCGCAGAGGAGCTTTATTTGCTCAACTTTTGCGGATTTATTCTCTCTCTTTCTGTATTCGCGCGCGTCGGCTCAGCTGTTTTACGCGCAGCGCGCCTAGCACCTGATTTACGGACGAGCGATAACTTTTGAATTTTCCCATCAATAACGAAGGTAAATGTAATATTTTCCCCCGTTTTCAAAGTCGGTAAAAAAGTCGGCACATTATGCAGATAGACTCGTCTTTCTCGGCGTTGGCTGCTTTAGCGCACTTTTATATACACACTGTACTGCAGCAGCAGCAGCAGCAGTTGAAACCTCAACGAGACAACTTGAGATTTTATATATATACGAGATACTTTGCAAGTCAACCAGGGATACGTATATATCTTCTCTCTCTCTGTTTACCTGGGCGCTTTTCGGGCTGTAGTAAGTAGAATCAATGGGCCGGAAAGGAAAGGAAGAAGTAGCGCGGCGCGCACAGCCTGCCCCGTAGTTTTAACGCCCCAACGTCTTGGCGCCCGCCGCGCGTAGGTATACATACTTGCACACACACACACATATATCTATAGCTCGCACATGTTAAGAAGAGGGTTGCCGTGGAGGCGCTTCTTCCTCGTGCTTCTTCGAGAGCTTCCGAGGCAGTGCTGCGCTACGATTATCCCTCATGAGCGCGAGGGCGGAAAAGTTATGGCTGTTTGGTCTGCGTGACTCACGGCAATTAAACGTGTGCGCGCGGCGGCGGCGGCAGCGAAGCAGAAGGAGAAGCTAGAAGAACGAGAGAGAGAGAGAGCAAAGTCTCACGGGAAATTTACATCGAGTGATATTGCCAAGGTGGAGCATGAACGTACGGTGCAGCAGCGCGAGGATTTTTCTTCTTCCTTCGAATGCTTATAAATCGACTATTATCCATTTTTTATCGGCCCTCGTGCACACACCCGTCCGTCCGTCCGTATGCTGCTTGGGCGTTTTTGCACGCCGCCTCCGACGTGTTTTAGAACGTGTAACGTCGTTAATCGACGCGAATCTCGCGCTTGCATAAAAATTCGAGCACAAGAAGCGAGAGAGAGAAGAGAAAGAAAAAAGAATTACGAGCCTCCTAACTGGCATGGCCCAAGGCGATCTATATATTTCAACAAATTCCAAAACGACGCGCGAACCTCGAGAAACTCGGCTCTTCTTCTGCGGCTCTAACGTGTGATAATCTGTTGCGGCTCCGTGGTTACACGAGTATGTGTGCTGCTCGGTTATAATGTGCATAGTTATATGTGTACGACGCGCAGCTGCGGTCGCGTCATGATATAACGAGCTACGAGATATTCGAAAAAAAGTGCCCAAAGTATCGGGATAATGATTGTGGGCCCCGAGGGGCCCTACTACTAGCCGGGAGAGTATACTTAAATAATACATACGAATACGTATGAGTCGGGGCGAGCGCAAATCGATCATCGTGACGCGAGCGCGTAAGATCGCGCGCAGATGTTGCCCGAGAAGCAGATCTCTGTGATTTCTAAGAAAGAAGGGCAAAAAAAAAAGGTTCATGCCTACATACTGCGATGCACATGGGGGTATAATATAATATCGCGCACATTTATACAGAGAACATCGTCGGCGTCTGTTATCGAGTGTTTATCTCGGTCTCGCATCTTCAGTCGCACATGTATATATAGGAAGGACGAGACGAGGGACTTTTCGAGCTCGAATAGTCCAGCAGCGGCAGAAGGAGGATAATTCGACGCTGGAGGTACATTTAATATATACGACGGCGCACGACCGCGACTCTACTTGTTCGCGAGCCAAGGATACATAAGTATGATTATTTTCTCCTACATTATATATATGCCCGATCTTTCGGACTTAATCCCATTTTTACACGAACGAAGCGAGCAGCGCTGATGCGATGCACGCGGGCGACGATAACATTTCTGACGTCTCGATAAATAATCTACTCCGGGTAGTTGCAGGCACATTATGTATACGTACGCGCGCGGCGCTGAATCATTTTATAAATACACGTTATGAATCGCATTACACGATGTACGTATAAAAGAGTATAAGTACACACAGACGACGACGAGGGACGACAAGAGAAGAAACGGCAGAGGATAATAAAAGCACGCGAAGCGCGTCAACTTGTTTGTCTCTCTCTCTCTCGCTGTAGAAAGGGAATTTTCATGGCGGTCGTCGAGCCGCGGCGTCAAAAAGCCATTTAGCTTTATGAAAATGGCTAAATGATTATCCGCGCGCGAGCGCTGTCGAGGTTTGTATACGAGCGCGCGCGCGGGGGCCCTATTACACCGACATCCATCAATCCGACCCGCATATAATACCGTACACACGAATACGTGTAAAAGGCTAATTTAGATTCAATTCGCAAAATGCGATTCGCATTAACGTCACGCGAAAGAGCTTGGACTGTGTATAGAAAGCTTATTCATATTATACACACACACAAGTATACGCGTAAAAACACGCGAGCTACATATCGTTCTAAGCGCATTCGCAAAAGTAATAATCCTCTCTGTATACAAGCTCGCTGTATAGAAATTCACTTTGGTATATATGTAGCGTGATACGAATCGGAGCTCCGCAATAGGAGCTGTATATTTCTTTCTCTTACTGCGTGGCGTGATTTTCATAATTCTCCGCGTAATATATGTGAAATACATATCCGAGCATATAGCTCTGGCGGTAATTGGGTGTCAGTCCGTGACAGGTATAAGACACAAGCCGAGCGCGCGCGAAAAAAAGATAGGTGGAGCTGAGTTGGCTAAACCTCTAATGAGGTATGTATACATGCGCGCTGGATTCGTGTATGATAGATATAATAAATACTTACAGAGATCGACGGCATCGGAGCGTCTCAGCTGCGACGCGAAGACGACGATGCAGAGGACGAGAAAAAGTTGCGGCCTCCTCGGCAGGTAGTCCATAGCTGCTGCGGCTGCGACGCTGCTTCTATTTGTACAGTAGTAGCGGAGATCATCCACCGATGACGATTACTCTCATAACCGCTGTGAAAAAAAAAAGAAAGAAACGTCGGATTAGTATAAATTATGCATCGATGCCGTTTTAATACGTGTGGCTGATCGATTGAATTAAAGTATAGCAATAAAAAAGCAAATAAGGAGGAGGAGGAGGAGCGCGAAAAAGTTACAACTAGTCATTTCACCTGCCATATGTTTATAAGCGAGGGAATTCTCGTTACGGCCGCTCGGGAATCGCAGTAAATGCAGCGAGCACAAGTTAACTCTTTATGCTCGGCGCGCGTCTCTTCGCTTCTATATACCTCGACCGTCTTTCTGCGTACGATATACCGCGCGAACACGGGTAAATGGGGCGCACAAAAGTCCGATAGATACGCACCATGTAACGTCGCAGCAGCGCGAGTTCGAAATTCGACTTTCTTCTTTCTACTAGCTACTACTACGCTCCGATCCGTGTGTAGCGATACAAGAAACGCGTACGTACGTACGTACGAGTAGCGTACGTTATATACAGTGGGGTGCATTCACCGTCGCCGCCGTCGCCGCCGCGTGGAGGCCATTACGCGTCATTATCGAGATTAAGATCGGAAAGGGTTCGTTCTCGTCGAGCGCTGGAATTCAACGGACTGTATTTTTGCTGGCTTTTTTTTCTTTCTCTCTCTCTCTCTCTTCTACTCTCTTTCTCATCGTGCCGTTCGATCGGCAGAGGGTGGCTGCTGCTGCTACGTGTACTACGTATATGTCGCTCGTGTGTTCGCGAGACTGTTCTTGGCATCGTTCTTTGTTTCGCATTTAAACGTGGTATATAGCGGCGGTAGCCCCGGCTACACCATTATATATATTCGCTGCGATTAGTCGAGGTCTGGCCGTCGTCGCCACCGCCGCCGTATACGTACCGTCGATCGCTTGATTTGCTTAATGGACTGGACGAAAAAGATGTGCCGGTAGAATGTACTCTCTGATTGAGATAAATTTTCGAATTAATTCGATGATATCTCGCGTGGCTTGGCATCGCGCGCAGCGGGTTGATACCGCTACTGTGCGCCGCTCGTTCAAAATGTAATTTAGAACAAATTGAGAAAGAGTACGAGAAATTCCCTTTCCTTCCTTCTTTCTTTTTTTTTCAAGGAAAATATCCCACAGTCGGTCTCGAGCTGTGCACGGCACACCGAGCTCGAGCCCGAGTATAAAATAACTATATAAGTAGTATCTCGAGGAAAAGTTGAAACGATAATGAAAAAAAAGAAAAAAAAGGGAAGAAAGAAGTTAGCCAATGGCAAGGAGAAGAAGAAAAAAAAAGGACTGCCGGGAGGAAGATATGAAATAAAAATACGTGCGAGACAGCAGTTTTCAACTAATTAACAGGCGCACAGCCACGGCTTTGACTAGCTAGCACAAATACGCTTTCTTATTGCGATGCTTATCCGACTACTACTCTCTGCTCGACTGCTGCTGTTGCTACTGCTGCTGCTGCTGCTGCCGCTTCTGCCGCTGCTTCTGCGGTCGGTGCATGGGAACCTGCTGGGCTAATTCAACTCTTGGTATTATATCCTAGGAACAAGAGCTGCGCCGGGCCCCCACGATTCTCATTATTTCGCATTTCCATCTGCGAGAAAACTGTTTTTATACTCTCTCTCTCTCTCTCTCTCTCTCTCTCTGGAGGTCGAATGAATGCGCCGCGGCGCGCGCGAGGGCTATAGCTACAGCTATAGCTGAAGCTCTCCTTCCGTGCACCGTTGCTGTGCTTTTTACATTTTTTTTCCTTCATTTCGACGTCGAGCTAATTATATATATGTGTATTATATTGTTGTTTTTATCCATGCCAATCCACCTAGTGCACACAAATTGTTTGTTGGATGTAGCACACGCGCGTCCGTAATTTCGACGATAAATTTCAAATCATAAATGTAGAATGGCTCCGCGGCTAAATTGAAGATCTCTCGCGTACACTCTTACGCTCGACTTTTCTCGCAAAATTAACTCGTTCGTCGGAGCCTTTGCGGCTGCTGCTGCTGCTGCTGGCCGCGAGACCGCAACGATAAATCACTGCACTTTTCATGTATGGCATGATTTACGTAATTGGTTCGCTCGCGCGGCGCGGCAGACAATACTCTCGCTCGCTCGCGCGCGAAAGGAAAAACAAAAGGATCATAAAGAGTCGCTAAAATTAAAATAGAATTTCGTAATTTTACTATTTTCCTCGTCGTCGTCGTTGCCGTCGTCGGCGCACACGCACACGCTCGCATTCGAGTAGCCAATATATCTCTCTTCGCTAAACTGTACGCCTTCCAGAAGAAGATATACGTAAGAGTAAAAAACGAAGAAGCAGCGCAGTGGTAGTGCGCGCGAGGCGTCGCACAATGAGGCTGCGAACTGTGAGATATCTGTCGTCGCGATCGTAAAGCGATCCTCGAGCAGCGCTGGGCCTTTATAATGTAAATTAAAAGATCGCGGCTTATTTCTTCGAATGCACCGCGTATACTGCAATTTCCATGGGGACATATAACGTAGCACTGACTCGCGAGCTTGGCAGATAAGGAGAAAATGAGAGTGTCAAGGCTGCATTATGGGTGTATATAGGTTCGATGCACACACACACTCAGAGAAAGTCGTTATACGATGCGTGTGCGCGATCGTTGTTTTGCCCGAACTTTTTGCCTCCAAGATAAAAGCACTTGCTCGTTAGCCATTTTATAAGGTGGTACCTGATTTATGCGAGGCGCGCAGAAATAATGTACCTTTTTAAGCCTTTTTTAGCGCGCTGAATCGAGCTGCTCTCCGCAACGATCTCTCCAAGGAGTATATATAATACCCGATACGAACGGCGAATCGAGTACGCCTGGGCCATTGTTTTTGTTTGATTTACTCGAGTAACGAGGTTTTATTATTGTTTTAAAAAACGATTCGGGTTCTCTCTCTTTCTCCTTCTCAAGCTCTGCACACGCGTATGCATGACTGCCGGTGTGCGATAAAACCATCGCGCACCCCTATTTTGCCCCGCTCCGACATCGGCACAATCAATCTTATTCCCCCGGAAAAAAGGAAAATTTCTTTGCTCTCTGTGGTATGGTGGTGGTGGTGGTGGTTGGCTTCGAGAAAAAAAGCTCTAAGCTACACACACACACACCCACCCGCGCGTACAGACAGGCGGTCGCGCAAGCTCTCTGGGTGTACCTCAGGAATCAACGACTCATCGCGTATACGTATACCGCAAGTCGTGTGCGGTTTAAAAAAAAAGCATGACCGAGAGGACTCGAGACATAAATCTATCATATTTTTCTCTCTCCGTGCCAGCCACTTGCCAATTAATCAAGTGTCTCCTCCAAGCATATATCTATGCATATACACTCCGCGTAGCCGCGCGCACGGCGATGTTTCCGGCTCGTTAAGCTTGGCCGAAAAAATTTTTTTCCTCAAACGTATAAGCTCGCGCGTACAAACCTTATCATGGATCGAAAATGACGACTCGTTTTTTTTTCTCTCTCTCTCTCTTTCTCTGGTACCTCGAGAAAATGAAGTAGTTCGTTTGTTCTACCAGCTACACAGAGAAGTGAGAAATAGAGTATATTTTCCTTCCACAAGGTAAATTAGATTTCGAGCTCGAGCTCCGGGAGCCAGCTAGCTAGGCTGACTGGAAGTTTTACGCGGCTTAACGTGATTTGCTGGAATTTCAGGCAACATACAGCCGAGGAAAGAGAGAGAGAGAAGAGAGCAGCTAGCTCCCGAGTTTTTAGTTTTCCCGAGCGAAAATTTTGGAGCGAATTTCTTCTCTGTCGGCTCCGTCCGTCGCGGTCGCCGCGTGCGCCGCTCGCAGCAACACACACAGTACAAGGGTATATAATACGAAGCTTCGGAGGGCGGGAGGCGGGTGGCCGGAAAAGGATGAGCGAAAGTTTCGTAATCAGCTTAAATGTTTGCTTTAAGTTTTGCAGTCCAGTGGCTATTAAAGCGCAAGGGGGGTGTGCGCGTGAACGCGAGTAGCATAAGAGAGACAGAGTAACAGCAGTAGCAGCAGAGCTATCGTTCGCTGTCGCGTTTTAATGAAGTCTCCGGATCAAAAAAGGGAAGAATATACACTCTACTACTTCTTCTTCTTCTTTACCCAGCCGCAGCTGACAATGCTCCGCTCAGCTGATATTATATAGTCTGTGATTCGATATTTCGCGCTACTTATATAGAAAACCGCAGCGCAACGTTATCTCGAGCCGACCCTCGTTCTCGTTCTCGTTCGTTCGGGCGCGAGAGAGACTTATCCCGTCGCGGCGCCTCTCAGCCTTTCGAGCGAATCATAAACAATTTTCAAACTTTTCCACTTATTGTTCGGGGAAAATTCTTCGTAAATTGTTTCTCGAAATATACATAATGTCCCATGGCGACGTGGCACATAACTCAGTGGAGCTAAAATTAAATCCACCAAAGCGCATACATATTTTAATTAGAAAACTGTCGCAGCTCCATTGGCGGTAATTTTTTCTCGAATCATTTTTTTTTTTATGTCAACTTGTTACAGTCAAAATAAAGCTGCTGCGGTGTCTGGATGAGGAATAACCATTAGTACGTGGGAGTCGTTTATAAACATGAAATAAAGACTGCGGCAAGAGCATTAGGCAATATAGCTCTCGCGCGCGATAATAAATACCCTTGGTAATTATCGGGGACGAGCTACGATGCACCCACAGAGACTCTCCGTCTAGCCTCGAGTATTAGCATTTCAGGTTACCAATTCTCTCTCTCTGGCGCGCAAACTGCCGGGCTGACACGACCGTTTTAAAGGCGAAATTACGACATTTATATATTTTACGTTATTATTTCTCGGCTTTAAATTGGAGTTTTTTCAAAAGTGCATTATATGCGGATATAAATTGATTAAGATGTTTTTCACACATCCAAGCGGCAAAGATGCGAGACGTAATTCAACACCAGCTGACAGGCTAAACGCGCGCGATCGTCGATATAGCTCGTGCCCAGATATAATAACTTACGGGTTAATTTTGAAAATAAAAATTGGGCGCGAAAATAACATAGTC